CAAGGAATTCGGATTATTTTCAAATCTTATTATAAAAAGAAGTTATGAACTTCGTTGCAGTTGCAGAGTGTTAAAGTGTTTAAAAGCTCGTTGATCTTGCTTTTGCCATTTGATGAATGGCAATGATCAATAAAATCATATTTGGCCCAGTTCAAATTGATTTTGTTGTTATCGGAAAACTTTTGCCGTTAACAATGTCGCTACAACTTGTTGGAACTGTCTTGTTACAGCATTGTCAAGCGCAGCCTTGGTACAAGCTTGTTGTGACAGGCTTGTTACAACTTGATGACTATAACAACTTGTCAACAAGTTGCTCCAACAAGCTTGGTACAGCTTGTTGTCGACAAGCTTGGTACAAGTTGTTCCAACAACTTGCTACAAGTCTGCAAGCCAACAAGTTGTAGCAAGCTTGATGTCAACAAGCTTGCTACAACCTGTTGTCTCAACAAGCTTGTTACAACTTGTCAACAAGCTTGCTACAAGCTTGTTGAGCCAACAAGTTGTCAACAAGATGTGAGATTTTTAGGTGTGTACACCTAAAAATCTCACATCTTGTTGACAACTTGTTAGCTCAACAAGCTTGTAGCAAGCTTGTTGACAAGTTGTAACAAGCTTGTTGAGACAACAGGTTGTAGCAAGCTTGTTGACATCAAGCTTGCTACAACTTGTTGGCTTGCAGACTTGTAGCAAGTTGTTGGAACAACTTGTTCCAAGCTTGTCGACAACAAGCTGTACCAAGCTTGTTGGAGCAACTTGTTGACAAGTTGTTATAGTCATCAAGTTGTAACAAGCCTGTCACAACAAGCTTGTACGAAGGCTGCGCGTGACAATGCTGTAACAAGACAGTTCCAACAAATTGTAGCGACATTGTTAACGGCAAAAGTTTTCCGATAACAACAAAATCAATTTGAACTGGGCCAAATATGATTTTATTGATCATTGCCATTCATCAAATGGAAAAAGCAAGATCAACGAGCTTTTAAACACTTTAACACTCTGCAACGAAGTTCGGAAGAATGCCTCGCATGGGATCTCGTGTCCCGTTTGCATTTTCTTCGTTTGAACATTGTTCAATAAATTTGATATATATACATAACTTCTTTTAGTAATAAGATTTGAAAAGAATCCGAATTCCTTAAAAACATTACAGATGAACATTTCCTTGTTTCAAGGATATCTATAACCGTTGAACCGTTGAGGAAGTGACGATTTCAACGGAGTAATCTCATTGGTTCAGACTCTGTTTAAACTATGTATAAGTGATCTCATTGGTTGAAATATACGTCAGTATATTTGCAAATTTCCCTGCTCTTTTCAAGAGTTCACTGATTCACCTGGTCATTGAGCTATCTTTGTGCCAAAACCTTTGATTTTTTAAGCCTTTAAAAGTTTAATAAACGTTGAAATATCAGTTAAAACGGATGGGCAACTTAAAAAAGTTTGAAGAATACTACAGTTCGACGTTTTAATAAAGGTATGTGCGTTTAATTCATCCAAATATTTGATATGGCGTACACAACGCCGGCAACACAATTTATTATAGTACACAAGCTAGCCTTTTAAAACTATATAGTTTTTAAAATATTTGTTGAATTTATTGCTTTTTATAAACATTGAACTGTTAGTTTCTGTGGATATTTATCAAAATCGAAACTTTGCCGGTTTTTTGTATTCAATAATTCAAATATTTTTAATGACGTGTAGGTGTGCGGTAAAGTGCAAAATTTCCTATTTTTAATATCTGTGCGTATGTTTTTAGCATGCTATGATTAGAAATAATAATATATATTTACGTATTATGGTAATAAAGTATTTGTACATTACTTATTTGACATTAGACTTGGATGGCAAGCAAGACCCTCGCCACAGCAGACAGGATGGAGTTTCCTCAACGTATTTGCAAACCAGTTTCCTCAAAAATATTTGCATATTTTTTAAAGTAACTGATTCCTGAAGCCATTGTATATTATACTTTATAGGAATTTGATTATCAAACTGGAGCTAAACTGAGGTATTGGCCGGAAAGTCGTATCAAACAAAGTGAATTATAGGAATGAGGTGCAGCTAGCTGTTGATTCTTGGGACGACGAAGTCAATTCAACAAGTGACTGAAATACTGGTATTATACAAGAATATTCATGCACCAGTTAATTTTTACCATATGAATGCAAAGAAACTTTTCTTACGAACTGATTATTAGGCTATATACTCAGAAAGGAAAATACATATGTTCTTGTACTGAGCCTTTAGTAATCTTGGTACTTCAAATGTGAAGTTTGTATTTAATTGCTAACCTTTGAATTTGTTTTTAAAATAATATGATTTTTACATCAAACTTTGTGTTGTTTGTTCTTTGTTTCACAATCTCCGGGAAAACACGCGTGTTTTAAAGCGAGATTTAATGCGCGGCCATGTTTGCAGCAAGCTTGTCGCGACAAGCTTGTAACGGCCTTGTTATAACTAGCTTGGAACAGCTCAAGTTCAACAAGCTTGTAGCAAGTTGTTGTCAGACTTGTAGCAAGCTTGTTGGCAACAACCTTGGTACAGCATTGTCACAACAAACTTGCTACAAGTCTGACAACAACTTGCTACAAGTCCGTCAAAACAAGCTTGGGACAAGCAGTGCGAACACAACCTGATATCGGCTTGTTGGAACAAGCTTGCTACAAGTCTGCTGCAGACTTGTTACAACTTGTGCGTTTTTACGTGTGTACTATCACATTGCAAACTACACCTAAAAATCTCACATCTTGTTGACAACTTGTTAGCTCAACAAGCTTGTAGCAAGCTTGTTGACAAGTTGTAACAAGCTTGTTGAGACAACAGGTTGTAGCAAGCTTGTTGACATCAAGCTTGCTACAACTTGTTGGCTTGCAGACTTGTAGCAAGTTGTTGGAACAACTTGTTCCAAGCTTGTCGACAACAAGCTGTACCAAGCTTGTTGGAGCAACTTGTTGACAAGTTGTTATAGTCATCAAGTTGTAACAAGCCTGTCACAACAAGCTTGTACGAAGGCTGCGCGTGACAATGCTGTAACAAGACAGTTCCAACAAATTGTAGCGACATTGTTAACGGCAAAAGTTTTCCGATAACAACAAAATCAATTTGAACTGGGCCAAATATGATTTTATTGATCATTGCCATTCATCAAATGGAAAAAGCAAGATCAACGAGCTTTTAAACACTTTAACACTCTGCAACGAAGTTCGGAAGAATGCCTCGCATGGGATCTCGTGTCCCGTTTGCATTTTCTTCGTTTGAACATTGTTCAATAAATTTGATATATATACATAACTTCTTTTAGTAATAAGATTTGAAAAGAATCCGAATTCCTTAAAAACATTACAGATGAACATTTCCTTGTTTCAAGGATATCTATAACCGTTGAACCGTTGAGGAAGTGACGATTTCAACGGAGTAATCTCATTGGTTCAGACTCTGTTTAAACTATGTATAAGTGATCTCATTGGTTGAAATATACGTCAGTATATTTGCAAATTTCCCTGCTCTTTTCAAGAGTTCACTGATTCACCTGGTCATTGAGCTATCTTTGTGCCAAAACCTTTGATTTTTTAAGCCTTTAAAAGTTTAATAAACGTTGAAATATCAGTTAAAACGGATGGGCAACTTAAAAAAGTTTGAAGAATACTACAGTTCGACGTTTTAATAAAGGTATGTGCGTTTAATTCATCCAAATATTTGATATGGCGTACACAACGCCGGCAACACAATTTATTATAGTACACAAGCTAGCCTTTTAAAACTATATAGTTTTTAAAATATTGTTGAATTTATTGCTTTTTATAAACATTGAACTGTTAGTTTCTGTGGATATTTATCAAAATCGAAACTTTGCCGGTTTTTTGTATTCAATAATTCAAATATTTTTAATGACGTGTAGGTGTGCGGTAAAGTGCAAAATTTCCTATTTTTAATATCTGTGCGTATGTTTTTAGCATGCTATGATTAGAAATAATAATATATATTTACGTATTATGGTAATAAAGTATTTGTACATTACTTATTTGACATTAGACTTGGATGGCAAGCAAGACCCTCGCCACAGCAGACAGGATGGAGTTTCCTCAACGTATTTGCAAACCAGTTTCCTCAAAAATATTTGCATATTTTTTAAAGTAACTGATTCCTGAAGCCATTGTATATTATACTTTATAGGAATTTGATTATCAAACTGGAGCTAAACTGAGGTATTGGCCGGAAAGTCGTATCAAACAAAGTGAATTATAGGAATGAGGTGCAGCTAGCTGTTGATTCTTGGGACGACGAAGTCAATTCAACAAGTGACTGAAATACTGGTATTATACAAGAATATTCATGCACCAGTTAATTTTTACCATATGAATGCAAAGAAACTTTTCTTACGAACTGATTATTAGGCTATATACTCAGAAAGGAAAATACATATGTTCTTGTACTGAGCCTTTAGTAATCTTGGTACTTCAAATGTGAAGTTTCTATTTAATTGCTAACCTTTGAATTTGTTTTTAAAATAATATGATTTTTACATCAAACTTTGTGTTGTTTGTTCTTTGTTTCACAATCTCCGGGAAAACACGCGTGTTTTCAAGCGAGATTTAATGCGCGGCCATGTTTGCAGCAAGCTTGTCGCGACAAGCTTGTAACGGCCTTGTTATAACAAGCTTGGAACAGCTCAAGTTCAACAAGCTTGTAGCAAGTTGTTGTCAGACTTGTAGCAAGCTTGTTGGCAACAACCTTGGTACAGCATTGTCACAACAAACTTGCTACAAGTCTGACAACAACTTGCTACACGTCCGTCACAACAACTTGGGACAAGCGGTGCGAATAAATCTTGCAACAAGCTTGTTGAAACGAGCTTGCGACAAGCTTGCTGCAGGCTTGTTACAACTCGTGCGTTTTTACGTGTGTACTGTAACTACTAATAATTTTGTGAATATAAAAGAAAAAAAAATATATTTTGCGCAAAAATGTAGACTAAGTTATAAAAAGAAAGACACACGATGTCGAAATCGGGTAGCAAGGAAACGTTTAAATCGATGAACGTCGACGCTATTAAGAAATATTTGCAAGAACGTGGAGTTACTGTAAATGGCTACCTCAAACCTGCTTTGGTCGAAATTGCGTCTGCTGTCGAGAAGATGATGTTGCCTCTCGATCCGAATTTCGAGCGTGATAATGCCGACAGCAATATAAAAGGTCGATTAATAATTCATGATATTCAAATCGAAGATCCGTTCAGTATGAAAACAAAGAATGACTTCATCGAATCGCCACCGTTTGGATTGTATGACATTTTTAATCACTTGATCTACCATACATCTGACTATGATAAACAAGGACTGGCTGCATACAAATCCTACGAAGACTACAGGCTTTTTGAAAATGGGTATGTACGGTCTTTGGAAACATTGGCACTAAAGGATCCAGGAATTCATGTTTACGTTGGGAAAGTTCAACCAAGCATGCGATCTAGGACTGACGAGGGGAAAGGTTATTACGATCTATGGTTTATCTTAGAGGGGAAAGGCCCAAATAAGGGAAGTGTGATTGAAGCATTTTGTAAATGCAAGGGTGGAAGAGATGGGGGCTGTAAACATATTGCTGCTGCTATGTATTCTCTGGAAGCGCTACTAAATAGTTCTGCAGAAGAGAGCGTTACTAGTGGCCCTCAGGCTTGTCTCTGGGTGGCCAAACCACAATCCAACACTGAGCCTTGCGATGTCCAACAAATTCCAAACTACCCCATCTGGTTATTTTTATTTCTATTTCTACGCCCCTCAATTCGCAATTAACCATTCAACAAATTACTCATTATGTTCCCCTTTAGCCCACATACACATAACGTCCTTTTTTTTTTCTCTAGTTTGTCTAATTCAGACAATTGTTACAAATTAACTTATAACTATATAAGAACTACAATATGGTTCCAATTACCTATGTCAAAATATAAAATAAACATTGTGATACCCCTATAGGGAACGGAGAGAGCGCCACCAAGCTCGCCATATTGTTTAGTTCTAGTTGTAACAATTGAATCAATCTCATACAGTTAACCAGAAAACAGTCCCCCTTGTTTATTCACACACCCCTAACACACTTACTAACAAACACAAAGATCACTACTCAATGGAACTATTACTCACAAAGGATAACCTTAATTTTTAAGAAGTCCCATTCAACTCCAAAAATCGAAGCAACCCGACCGAAAACCCTACCGAAAACCTAACCGACCCCCAGAATATGTTGATTGATAACCCTGACAACGCAATCCCCACCCTTGACACTAACCCATGCCCAATCCAACCCAACCCCCCACCCTCACCGGACATGTCCGAGGAACAAATAAACGAATTTTTACAGACTGACGACGGAGACATAACAGACTTGGACACCTCCCTTATTTTTGGCCACAAATTGATCATATCCGATCAGGAAACTGATTCAATAATAGAAGGCCTACATAAGGAAAAACAAAAACTTTTAAACACAGAAGACGAAAACCCAGAGACAAACAACACACCCCAAATCACAACTAACCCCGAAATCGCAACCAACACCACACCACACAATGACCAACCACAATCCATTCCCAACCCCAACAGCATACCACCACACCTCCTGGAAACATTCCGCATTATTAGCACACAGAAAACCAAGTTATCCAAACTCAAATGCACACTTGACGAACTGGAAGAACACAAAAAAGCACAGACACTACCCCCTGGACTAGAAATCACACACAAAAGCAAACACTACCTGAACAAAGACCTACGACAAAGATGGGAGGACATCTTAATGAATGCCTCACAAGAACTACTGACTGTAACCATTGACTATCACAAACAGGAAATAACAAACACAGAGTTCAAAATACAACACAAATCTGCACAAATCAACAACAAATGTGACACAATGACTGCCAACAACATACTACAACAAACAGACGCCATTGCAACCAAATACACAAAACAAGCCTGCCTAGCACCATCCCACAATCGCAACATAAAACTAAAACGACTTAACAACACAAATACCAGAATCACTCCAACAACCTCCTCACCCCATAGGACACCATACAGAACAACCAGCCAACCAACCAACAAACCCACACACACACCGACCAACAGACACAAACCAAAACCCCTTATGCAAACCCACACCCCACACCACCACAAACCCGGAACAACTGGTACTAGCACAACAACAGTAACAAGAACACCACAACTTCGAATACCAACCCACTATCGACAACCTAATAACAACAGACACCGAACCCATCAACGAAACAACAATGAACAACAATCAGCACCCCACATAAACATTCCATCTCACTTGAACTACAACACACAACAACAAATCCTGGTTTTTTTAAGACGCAACAAACCCACACACCACAAATAACAAAAAAACAGATAAAACTCAACACAGATACAAACAATTACAACAAACGAAACATCCTAAAATATTTGAAAACACAATGGAACACAAATAACAACAGACACAAAAGCAAAAATAAACTACATAAAAAACTCAAATATAACTCCCAACACAATACTATTGTTAACCTCTTCTAACAAACCCATCTCACAGAAGCACAAAAAACCCTGTCGAAAGGCCTTACCTTTGTCCCGACACCCAAACACACACCATACAAGACCATATATGCCTCTTTTCTGAAATATAAAAAAAGCATGTACAATAAATATTTCTTCAGAAACAGAAAGGACACTAAAAAACAGCCATTTAAACTACCCAGTAACTTCACAGCACCAAACCCCGACAACAGCAACCTGTTAGAATACATATCAAATGTACTCTACGATCTCAAAATTGAATTTGGAACACAAAAACAAACTACAAAAACCAACTTATCCTCACAAAGCCTTAAAACCATCCATGATCTAAAAAAGGATGATGATATAATAATCAAACCAGCAGACAAAGGAGGAGCCATTGTGATATGGCCAATGGAAGATTATCTTACTGAGGCATATAGACAACTTTATAATGAGAAACACTACCAGAAACTAACACATGACCCGACCCCTGAAATTCTAACTGAAACCAAAACCCTAGCACACAAACTCCACAAATCTAAGGCCATTGACAACACAACATTTAAATATCTCACAATTGACAATCAAGCCAGGACACCACAACTATACCTTTTACCCAAAATACACAAAACTAACATTCCAGGTCGACCTATTATCTCCGGTTGTGGTGGACCAACAGTCAAGCTTTCTCAATATGCTGACCATCTACTCAAACCACTCCTACAACACATACCATCATATGTCCAGGACACTACAGACTTTCTATGCCGGATATTTGCTCAGAATAACACACTACCAGACAAGTTCATACTTATTACTATTGACGTAAGAAGTCTCTATACCAACATACCTAATGATCAAGGCATCCAAGCCTGTATAGACATGTTGAAAGAAATCAACACAATTACCCCTGAAATGGAGAAACTAGTTCATGACATCCTATCCCTTGTACTTAAGAAGAACGCCTTTGCTTTTAACAACGAACACTTCCTACAAATTCATGGCACTGCTATGGGATCACCAATGGCACCTACCTATGCAAACATATTCATGGCAGCACTTGAACGGAGCTCCTCCAACAAGCTCCTGAAAATCTTATACCTATTGAATGGATAAGATTTATAGATGACATATTTGCAATTTGGACACATGGCACTGACAAACTGGAAAAATTCCTTAAATACATAAACAATTTTCATCCTACCATCAAATTTGACTTTTCCTTCTCTGAGAAATCTGTCAACTTCCTTGACACAACTATCTACAAAACAAAAACAACAAACTGGAATCAGACCTGTACATTAAACCAACTGACAAAACCCTTCTACTACACAAAAGCTCATTCCCACCCCACATGCAAGAACGCAGTCATCTACAGTCAGGCTCTACGATACAGACGCATAATTACAGACAACAACAAATTACAACAACGACTAAACCACCTCCTGATTGCACTGATCCATCGCGGATATGACCACGACACCATCACCACCAACTTCAACAAAGCCCTACAATACACCCAAACAGACCTACTCAATAGGAAACAAAGCCAAAAAAACACAAGCCGCCCAATTTTCTCCATTCCATACAACACAAACACAAAATACATTGCAAACATCCTACGTAAACACTGGAACATATTGGAGAATGACCCCACACTGAGGAGTCTATGGCAAGAACCTCCAATTGTAGCCTACCAACGTAATACTAACCTGAGAGACACACACACAAGCAAAACTTAAACCAGACACGCTAACCAAACATAATAACATCCCATAACCCAAATCCCCCAGGCCTTCCATCAACCCCAAACCTAACCAAAACCAGCCAAAAACCTCCACACCATTCTAAACACAGATACAAAAAAAATTTTTGACCACTCCCAATTGACATTGAGTCTGAATACCACCTTGAAAACACCAGAGTGGATATAACAAACCAAAGAACTTACTGGGAAACACTGGGTTACAAGTGAGAACATGCAAGAACCAATTAACACATGACAAGCAAACCCTGTGGCACTCTCCTGTGAAAACAACAAAACTACATGACTTAACCAGTCACGGAGCGATTGCAGAATACCCCGCAATTTTTCAAGCCACGCTTTTTAAATATAACGGATACGTGGATACGCAGTCAGCTAATGCATATGATTGTAAGGCATAAGAAATACATGACGTAAAAGACAGACGTAATATAAACGTAGGTATTAGTTTTAAGTGGATACGCGGATACGTGGATACGCAGTCATTTAAGATTTTAAAGAACGAGGCATACAGTATAGTTTAAAGAGATCAGATTCTCAAGCTAGAGGTAGCTTTATTTTTTAGTGGATACGCGGATACGTGGATACGCAGTCGTTTAATATTTTAAAGAACGAGGCATACAGTTTGTTTAAAGAGATCAGATTCTCAAGCTAGAGGTAGCTTTATTTTTTAGTAGATACGCGGATACGTGGATATGCAGTCGTTTAATATTTTAAAGAACGAGGCATACAGTATAATTTAAAGAGATCAGATTCTCAAGCTAGAGGTAGCTTTATTTTTTAGTAGATACGCGGATACGTGGATACGCAGTCGTTTAAATTTTAAAGAACGAGGCATACAGTAGTTTAAAGAGATCAGATTCTCAAGCTAGAGGTAGCTTTATTTTTTAGTGATACGCGGATACGTGGATACGCAGTCGTTTAAGATTTTAAAGAACGAGGCATACAGTATAGTTTAAAGAGATCAGATTCTCAAGCTAGAGGTAGCTTTATTTTTTAGTGGATACGCGGATACGTGGATACGCAGTCGTTTAATATTTTAAAGAACGAGGCATACAGTTTGTTTAAAGAGATCAGATTCTCAAGCTAGAGGTAGCTTTATTTTTTAGTGATACGCGGATACGTGGATACGCAGTCGTTTAATATTTTAAAGAACGAGGCATACAGTATAATTTAAAGAGATCAGATTCTCAAGCTAGAGGTAGCTTTATTTTTTGTGGATACGCGGATACGTGGATACGCAGTCGTTTAAGATTTTAAAGAACGAGGCATACAGTAGTTTAAAGAGATCAGATTCTCAAGCTAGAGGGAGCTTTATTTTTTAGTGGATACGCGGATACGTGGATACGCAGTCGTTTAATATTTTAAAGAACGAGGCATACAGTTTGTTTAAAGAGATCAGATTCTCAAGCTCGAGGTAGCTTTATTTTTTAGTGGATACGCGGATACGTGGATACGCAGTCGTTTAATA